TTTGAATTTTGTAAATTAACCAACACTATTTTAAGAGCAAAACAAGCAGTTACCGTAATTTCAGGAATATTTAGAAGTTTAGTGTAAAACTTTATCAGCTAAGCTGACCAATTTATCAATTAATCTGCTGGAGAAAATGTAGTAAAAAACCGAAAAAGTTGGGTGCGATCAACGTTATTTTAGGTACACGGGAAAAAGCTCATCTTCTTTTTGCTGATTATCCCACCGCACTAATGCTTCTTCAGCAATGAATTCAATAGGTACAATTTCAAAGGAATGCTCTTGAGAAATTATTGAGCGTGAACCCAATATTTGGTCAATTTTTATTTTTTATACAAAATAGAACCATTTCCCCAAAAATTAATATCACCTGAAATATCTTGCGCTATGTTATGTAACAGTTTATCAACATTTTCAGAACCTAAAGTATACGATGGATTCTTAACAGACGAAATGCCATAATAAAGATCATTTCCAAAAGCATTTAATAAAACAATATTGGTCTGGGTATTATCTAAATATTTGAGAAAAGCAGTGAGACCGTTTACTCCAATCAACGGAGTTCCGGCAGCAAAATTTATACCATTAAGCGTAGCTAAGACTACGCGCAAGGTAGTATAAGGTGCTGGCCCTATATGTGCTCCTAAAAATGATAAATCTTTTAAAGATATATCAAACTTTTTAAATATGGTTTCAATAGTAATCAATAAGCATTTACTTACTTTGATACTATCTAAGGTATACAGCTCAATTAAATTTTGTCGCTCAAAATAACCAATTTGGACATCTTTATAGCGCGTATGAAATATCAGAAATTTTTCCATTCAAAAAAATTATCGACGATTATTGCATTTCTGTTGCTGATAAAAAATGCTAAAGTTATCAAATTCTATTGTTTTTTCTTTAATCGTTATAATTTTACCACAATTTAAACATTTCCATCCATCAAAATTTAAAAATTGATCAAAAAAAGACTGAGATACCATCAGACCGGAGCATTTTGTACACTTCATTACTAACTCCTTTTTTTTAAGAGATCCCTTACTATTTGTAACCTTAAAGCAATCACTCTTTGCTTGTCAATAAAAAATGATATTATTGCGCAGAAAAAAATTATTCAAGTTCTGCAGATTGAAATTTAAGATAAGATAAATAAGAATCTAAAATAAAAGCAGCGGCTATAGAATGAGATTTGATTTTTTGATCTTTAGATTTGGAGCTTCTTACCGTTTCGGCACGTTTACTACTTAATCGTTCATCCCATAGAATAAACTTAATATTCGGAAAAATTTCTTCAAGTTTGTTCTTATAATCTTGAGTTTTTTGAGTTTGTATACTTTTCAGCCCCTTCATAGTTAAAGGGTTTCCAATAACAATCTCTCCTATTTTTTCCTTTTCAATAAGCTTCACTAGATAAGGTTCCAATTCAACTAAGGTGACTGTTTCAAAGGGCCGTGCAAAAAATCTGCTTGCATCTGTTATTGCTACCCCTACCCATTGATCACCCAAATCCAAGGCTAAAATTTTACTCATTAATTAAATAGTCCTAAAGGCCAAAGAGCCCTTTTTTAAAAATTTAACATTAAAAACATCTTGACCTTAAAATATTTTTAGATCATACCCAAAGTTTATAATTACTGAGTAAATTTACAAGAGTAATTTAAAGAACTTATAGCTGATATTTATTTTTGAAAAATTTCCGACTAAAAAACCCTTCTTAGCATAGCCCAAGGTAAATGATATAGGCATAGCATCTGGTATAGGATACGATGATTTTAGCGATTCAGGAATATTATGTGATGTAAATCAGAAAATATTCCACGGTTGATACTGAATTTAAAAGCTTTCGATTCGCTTTCCGGTTACTTAGCACAAATTTTATCTTATACTGCCGCTAGATTCGATTCCCTAGATCAAAACAAACTACACTATACCTATACAATTAACTTATAGTCCACTTCAGTCACCGATTTCATTGTTTTGATTTCTTTATAAATAATTTATTATTTTATTTATTTTTCTTATTGCTCATATCTAATCTAGCATAAATGCTTTAGGAAAATATTATTATGAAACTTAAATTATTGCTGTTTATCCTCACTATTCCCCTACATTCATTTATTCGATCATCCCTAGAAATTGCTTGAGTAAAGCTATCGTACAAAAATACGGTTCACCGTGTGTGAGAAATGTTTGCACAAATAATACTCTCTGCCAAATCTATACTAACCAAAATATGTGCCTGTTAACTCAAGAAATTCCTCTTGAGCTCCGTAACTTATCGTATGCTATTTATCCAACAGCACTTTATGCTTATA